GCTCTAATGGTCAGCTCTAGCTTTCATAGCTGAATTAAAAACTGTAACAGAAAACAGAAGCTGAAACCAGAACTAAAAGAGTCCAGAAAGGATTTAGGAAACTTCTGCAGGATAATGTTTAAAGCTCCACAGTTGAATCATAAAATTAATCTAAGCCAAATATTAACTATAACTTGAAAAACTTGATCAGAAAGGTTTTGGGATGAAGGGTTAAAGATCAAGAAAAAAAAATCTACCGATCCGTTTTAAAAGTCACTAATGGTCAGGCCTGGGCCCTGAGGGTTTTTCCAGCTGAATTCCTGTACAGTTCTTTATAGAGTAAATCTAACTGTATCAGCAGCAGAGCAGATGATAAGCTTTCAAAAACCTTTTTTTTTTAATAACGTTCTTCTTTTGAGAAGACCATATAAGACAGTGAGAGGAGGCCCGGGCAGCTTTTGCTTGTGAAGATCTATAATAACCCGATGATGGCCATGGCGGGAGACAGTGGGCCACTGCTGGAACCGGTTTTCAGTGCTTCCTCTAGAGGGAATTTGAGGGCTAGTATAAGCTGCTTCAAAAGACGGACTTACTAGCACCTCACTATTGTTGATGAAAAACCCCACAATTTATTGTCCTGTCTGAAATTCATAAAATATTTAACTCTCTTGATTATGAGATTTTGGGCTTTTGCCTTCATGAAGCAATCAAATATCTTGTTAGTTGATTGTTGGTAAACTCAAGTCAGGGGGGTACAGATTAAGCAGCCAAGCTCAGTCTCTAGCGTTATCACTTGTCAAGCACGTGAGCACCGCTCTGTCACTACCAGACGAATGCAGATAGATGGAGCACTCCAATACTTTCTTTCTGAAAAATACCAAAAAATAATTCTGAAGCACTGCTCCTCTCCCACTATCTTAAGATGCTATAGGAAATTGTTTTCCTATTATCAAACTCTTCATTCTTGTATGAAAATATTATGCTATTGCATAAGTAGTCATAATAAATTAAGACTTCATATTAGAAGATGGATTCTGTGACCTGTGTCCCCTCGTTTGTCCAAGTGCAAATCAAATTTTAATGACAGAAAAATGTAATGATTTGTAGGATTTATCAGTATTACACTAAACTAGAAGCATCACACAACCTGCTCTTTGGTGACCTTCTTTCTCCCTGTCTTAGCTGTGCTCATTCAACAAGAAAAACCTACTCAGAGCTCCTGAAAGTGAGAGCACAGTTATTCTAAGAAATGCACTTATTACAGCACACTTGACTTAGGGGACTTGATAAGTCTGTACACAGACTTATCTCTTTGGGCAAACCACTTGCTGAGACTGTTTGCATTACTGTGGTCTGTCTCAGTCTAGAAAAGAGAAAACTGTCCCAACTGTTGTGATCAAAACAGAAGAAGGAAACAAAATAAATGGGTGAGACTTCAGTAACGCATTCTTCTTCTCCCCACCCCAGCTGGTTTAAACCATCTAGGCAAAAAAAGTTTAGAAGAAAAGTTTATAAACACAACACAGGTTGGAGTTAAAAAGGATATGGCAGTTTGTAAACTTCAGTACGATTAATCCTGCAAGTCAAGGAACATGATGCAGCATTAGCTATTTCGTGCATTTTAAGATAATAGGAGACCAAAGGACTTTGACCACCAAGTCGGAAGAGCACACGCTTGCATTCTGGACCTGGGCCGATATAGCAGGACTGTAAAAATGAGAGAAAAGTCAGCAAAGCATATTATCAGACTGACTGTCTGCAAATAATAACAGAACAAAATAGGAACTTCTGCATACATATTAACAAATATTTTTGCTAACGATGTTTTGTTGAAAAAAGTTTTAATAAAAAGTAGTGTACTACATACTGGTGATATCAATATAAGGAGGAACCAGTATTTCTGACAAAGACTGAAGGTAATGATCAATGTTATGGGAGACTGTCTTTCTCCATTTCAAGCAGGAAAACTCCTGCAGGCTATGACAGGCATAAGACCAAGTCCTCAGCAGGGAATATAACCACCTGCAAGTAAACTTGAGTTGGTTTTAATATTTACTTCACATCGATGCAATATTTTATGCACTGTAAATTTATAATCAAGACGTATGTGATAAATTAAGAGTTTTATCAGGAAAGTACCTAGTGAAGCCCACTTTAAACTGCAGTTTACTACATTCACGCTCTTACCAGAATCGGACTAGTTAATTCTACTGCAATGCTAACATGTATTCCTTCTGTGGTCATTGAAAACCATAAAACATGGTAGAAATGAATAAAATCATAGAAAAGATGTAATCAGAGTATTTTTGTAGTGCAGTTCATAAATACTAACAGAAAGAAAGCCCTTGTTAGCGTGATACCCTTAGTTGCTACTTTTAACATCACAAACATGTAAAGCAAACCTCTGTTACGGTTTCTGACTCCTTGGGTATATCATTTATATGTTCGCTATCTTCACTCATTTCTCCATCTGCCATATATTTTCCATCTTCAAGTAGATCTTCGTAACTGATGTTCTCCACTAACAAAAATATAAAGATCATACACTTTCACTTATTGACAACACACAGATTTTGTTGGCTTTCTATTCTTCTGATATCCCTTTTCATTGTGCAGCATATTCTTGGTGATACAGGATACACACCACACTTTCAGGGAGATGTTAATACGCCAAAGCTCTCCTTAGTACACCGAAATGCATTTCCACACAAAATTTTCCAGATAAAATGCTATGCAAAGACGTTGCACTACAAATGATGAATCAGTTAATGAAAAATGGTGCTAAGAAGGCTATTTAATCCATGTTCTTTAGCTTAAAATATTAAACTGCATTATAGGGAACATACTGATCTGTCAACTCACTGGAAACTAGACAATGTCTTACTAATACTAGCAATAACACACAGATAGCTTTACCTATCTCAGACATTTCTAAAAGAGTACTAATAATTATAGACTCCCCAGCTGGCAGAGAGTAGAAAGTACAGAAAAACAAACAGCTAGGCTCACAAGACTTGGAGGTCCCCCCGTCAGCCCGTCCCCACCCCTGCCTGCCTACTGAAGTTAAAAATAAGAAGCTGTAAACCATGGGCACGGGAGCGTTCCACTTTGTGCAGCCTGCGCAGGAAGCAGGCTGAGGGGATTTTGTCTGTGCCCCATATAGAAACATTACACTTTATGTGGCGTGCACATACACACACATGTTGCCCAAGTGCAAACCTTATGTTCTGTAAAGCTCCTCTGGCGAGCAACTCTTTGTTGCAGTGACAAACGAGTACGGCAATTACAGAACAAATGGAGTACGCAGGAATGACACACTGTTTTAAACAGATCTTCGCTACCCTTACATACATTCAGGAAAGCTGTTAAAGAAAAAGAAATTTGCTGGCTTCTTGAAAGTCTTGAAACAAACAAGCAAAAATGAGCTCTAGCTTGCAGTTTTATAGTAAATTGTCAGGCATCCATGAAGACAAAGCCAGATCTTAGCTGGGCAAATACATCTTAGCCACAGGTTATAAAGCAGATACAGATGTACAAAACTATCAACACAGGAAAACAAAAGTTTGGAACAGCAGTGAGAAAAGCTTTACGTTTTTGCATAACAGGAAATCCACTGAACAAAAAAGAATTACAAATAACCACTAACATGCCTCATTTGCCTTAAAGAAACACAAAAGCTCCTAAAATGAGAAATAACATCACTGAACAGAACAACCACAAAGTGAAGAATTTTGTTTAAAAAAAAATCTCTCTTTGAACATAACAGCTCAGAGCACAGAATAGATGAGGGAGAGGAGGACAAAGAACTGCTAAAACAGAACTGCAATGAAAGCCAAGGTGAGATATCTTCTCCAAGTTGAGGTGTCGGCAGACAAATGCCATTTAAAAAAAGTTTTCCTGCAATGACAGTGATTCCACAGGCCTTCACAACAATTTATATACTCACAAGCAGAACGCGCCAGGATCGGGTTCCAGACTACTGAAAATCAGCAAAAGGGTGAAAAGGAGGTTCCCAGCGCTCCTAGATTAGTTAACTTAATTTGAATTCCTAGAAAAATGTTACAGTACCAATGGCAAGAAAGGCTACTTAATACTGAGATTAACTGGTTCATGGGCAAATATCTACTCCAGGAGTCTGTATCTCAGGACTTTTTGTTTTGCCTCTGCAGTATACAGAGATTATGTAGATCTAGGCACCACTCTCAAGCTCGGCTATGCGCACAGCCATAAGAGGTGCTTAGCTCTTCTCAATTTCAGATGTATTTAAGAGAGACTTGTAAAAAAAGAGGGAAAGATGGGTGGATAATGAATGTATATATGGGCAATACAGCTGTAAAAACTGTAGTTACTGGAAAGTACTCTTTCTTTGTCACTTCTTGTCCATCTCTACATTCTCACTGGGGATGGTTGCAGTACTACCCTCCAAAGGCTTAAGAATTATTTCAAAGTGTGTCTGAGAGCTCTCTTAGCAAAATAACACTTGATGGAGCGCAAATGGGGCACTGTATTCAAGCACAGAGCTTCCTGAAAGAGCGGAAGGAGCTCCAGCTAGCTGCGCTGCAGAGAAGTGAACTGCAGCCATTATTTGACCATATCCTTGTTGTGGCTCTCCTGGAGCAGGTCTGATCACCAATGAAGAAAATCATGTGTATTGTCTCATAGCAATTCTTGCTATGGTCCATCATTTAAGGGGACAACCCTTCAGCACAGACATCTGTACTCTCTGTTGTCTTGGCGTTAGAAACAAATACACGAAGACATCATTGAATGTCTTTGATGTTGGCCTCACAGACATGGCTGTGGTTGTCAGTTGTCAGGACTTTCTGATAACTGACCTGGGTAGAAACATTTTAGCTCAAAGATGTGAATTTAGGGAAGAAAAATGGATAAAAATGAATCTCCTGACTCAAATCAAACTATAATCTAACCTTGTTTAGGGGCTTGTATTCAGATACATGCTGTCTGGGAGTAACGCCCGTGTGCTGTGTCCCATACTGCTTGCAGAAGTGACCGGCACAAAAATCTTTCCATGGAAAGGTACAGCAGCAAACAGGTAGACACGGGCCTGAATGGCTGATCAGTAAAATGTAGCTAAGTATCAAACTCAGATTTCACTGGTGCAGAGTGTTTCTGAACAGGAAACACCCTCACCAGAAATAGAGAAGACAGCTCCTCTGGTGAGGTACTGAGGGCAGAAGTTACCCTGCTGATTAAAACCAGGAGTGATCTTAAGTTCCTGATGCTATGGAGTAGAGTTCTCCCTGGAAAGAAAAAAGTGGACAGAGCCCAATAGGATTAGTAACTAAAGAAGGTCTACTGTCATCAAGGATGGTGCCAGAGGGAAAAAAGGAGACAACGCTGCCAAAGAACACAACTACTTCCTCCTGATATCTTGATCTCCAGAGGATCCCAGGATTATAGTCCCAGGCCAGGAGAGACAGCTAGGAAGAGGTGGCAGGCAGCACAGTTTGCCCATCTTGTGAGAACAGCAGTGGAGAAGTCACGTCTCAGAACATGGCTCAGCCCTGCAGCCCGACAAGTCAGTAATGAGGATTTTGTTGATAAGCTTTGAGTAACAGTTGAATAACTGAATACGTGCCATAAAGAGGAAGGAGTGGAGGGTTACTGCTTTTTTTCCTTTTACTGTAGCCACCAAACCCAGCAGCACTGTCCTAAGTGAGGATGCCACACTGTCAGAGGCCATACCTAAATGAATCTCAACACCTCCTGATTTGCTGGCTCTGCCTTTGATAATATTATGATTACAATTGGATCTAAAGAAGGACCTGTACTTCTGAAAGCTGACCTGTTTTCCAAATTACGTCATTTGGTTTAATTAAAATACTACTTCTTCCCACAAAGTTTTCTTATGTGTTATGCATGAACACTAGACATTCAAATCCCTGAGAAATTTTAATTCAACAAGATGGTCAGTACATCAATAGGACTTCTTTTATAACTCTTATGACCTCACTCATCAGTGCTAAGAGCAATACAAAAATAACAGCTCTGAGGTTTTTTCCCTCTGCCTTTCACAACCCTCCACAGTAAGTAGGTCCAGAAATCATTTAAACAGATAAGAGCGTTTAAACAGTTAATAAGGAAGAGTTAATCAAGAACACCCAGGACTAGAAATATCCTGATTTTGACAGTCTTCTCATCAACAGAATTAACATTTATTTATAGTCCACTGAAGAACAATTTAACTAAAGGCCTAATGTATCCTGCAGAACCTTTTTATTGCTGACAATAATACTTGGATTAGAATTAGCACAGCTTGATTTTTGAATCCCAACTTGAGTCTGCAGAGAAGGCAGTTTTTAAAAAGTTTTTTTTTTTTTTTCCTCCTTGCAAACTGAGCAAACTTGATCTGGAAGTCATTAACAGATAATAAACATAACCTTCCCCCACTCACTCCCAGATGCCATCTCTACAGTCACTTTTCAGAACACAGTTGTATTTTTACAACATGTCATCCTACAGAGAACAGTCTTGCAGGCTTTCATTTTATCTGATTTCTCCCTTACTGCTAAGGAATTAGTGCATTCTCTTCAGAAGGACTCAGTTCCTGAAAAGAAGAAAGAAGTGGAGTGGAAGGAGAAGGAAGTGGGAAAACAAAGAAGAAAAGTGAGAGAGACATTCAGGAGTAAGTTACATCTTTGCAAAATTATCATCTGGATTCTTCATTATGATAAGTCATAGGCATAAGAAATCATACACATTTGATGCATTTACTGCTGATAGTAATATCATGGTGACTGGTTTTGTTTCATCACCCTCTACATTAAAACTTCATCGTTCAGGAGGTAGTATTAATGGTGGCAGACATCTATTTGATGAGCACATAAGAATTTTTGGTCTGCCATGTTGCTGTATTTACTGATGTGTAACTCTAATACCGCACCTAAACACTTAGTTTTAAACTATTTCTAGCTTATCACAATAGTGAAAAAGGTGGAAGCTATTATCTGTTTGAAAGAAATTCTGAATCGTATTTTAATTCTGAATCAGCTGAAATATATTAAGTCTTGATGTTGTCATTAAAAGCTAGCCGCTAAGATTATTACAGTAACTTCAATCTTTTTACAACTTTACTATTTCTTTTTCCAAAGGTCTGGATAATGAAGACCTTACACAGGCAACACTCCCACTGACGTCAACTAGTATTTTGCCTGGGTAGAACCCTTACTGGTTTATTGCCACTCAGGTTCAGGTGTTTTATGAACAAAAGTGAAATCTTCCTCACTCTGAAATTAATCGTGTTTAGCCAATGACATCAATGCCAGCGAATTACTAGGGACTGCCCAAATTAGGGCTTCCAGCCTAGCACTCAACGGCTGTCAATAACAGTACAGATCTTTTCTTTAATTTTCTTGTCCTTTGTGGCTTTCATGAGTACAGACATCATTACTTTCTGCAGAGTACTTTAGTTCAGTCATCAAGATGCAGATAAAGTTGTATTTCAAAGTTACTGTGTGTGGAATTAGTTCAATTATCTCTTTTCTGTACAAATACAATATT